CAGGAATAATCTATGAAAGTTAATGTTTGAAGGCAAAGACGCATAAACATGTACACGGTCCATCCCTTATGAAAGATGTTTCTATGGCAAAGGCAAGGAAGTTCTGTGTTCAAATAATTATTTCTCTCCAACTTCCTCTGTGTCATTGAGCAATCCTCCTGCAGCTTCAGGGTCTGTTGCTATTTTATACAGGTGTTATACTGATTATTTATTGTTTTAAAAAGCATGAATCAGATAACATATCAATGGGAGCCATATGAATACCCAATATATACAGCTGCATCCTGTGAAATCTTTCTGTAGTATCTATTATATTCATTTCTAGAAAAGCTTTTACACGTGTTCTTGTAACCCAGTGAAGGAAAGGGAACCTGTTAGTTGGAGTTGAAGTGGAATAAAGAATAACTCCTTACTTTCTACCAAAGAGCAGTTTTAATGCAATATGCAGAGCCAAAGAGAACTTTGGTCGAAGTTTAATAGCTAACAAGTGTCACAAATACTCCTCAAAAGAAGTATATAGTCAACATTTTGAAATAGGTATTGAAGGAATTGCTAAAAATTTAAGATCATGAAAAGCAATGGCAATCTGAATTAGTATTGATGATCTTTTTCTAAGACACTTGCACTACTGCAAAACTTAAACATTTTAATTCAGAACTTCTCCAGTAAAATCTCATCTACTATGTAACAAAACCCTGTTATTGCATATTTAACTGGGAAAGATAAGCTATGAAAAGTAATAATAGGAACAAAACATTGTTACTAACATTTGTTGCATAACATAGCATAGTGATACTTTCAATTATTTAATCAGATTTCCAGTATTAGTTTTGGTAAATGCTTTAGGATGTCCAGCCTTTATGGACAACGATTAGTGAAAAACGGTTTTGGACAACCATTTTGACTTTTAAATTTCATTCATTGTTTTTACATATGCTGTCATCTCAGCATCTGCAATTTTAACAAATTCTTGGAAAGTGTTTTGTTCTTGAATAGTTGCTGGTCTTACAGAGACGCACTTGAAAACATTCCTTTTTGCGTCATAGTTTCCCATGCACCTGTGCACTCGACCTCTAATTAGTCTTGGAAGCTCCCGGTCCTTCATCAAAAGCATAATAAACAAATAAAAAAATTATACACCTTTCTAACATAAAAGATTTCAAAATGTCTGTTTGTTAGATATTAGTGGATTTCTGAAGACTACCTCAAACGCAGAAGGAATTTACATCAGCGTTTTTGCTGTTATCGGCTACTTAGAAGCCGAACTGAAAGTCCCACCTCTTTTGCTGAAACAGAAGTCTGAGGATGGCTAAATAGTGACTGGATCATTGCTCTAGACCAGTTTGGGAACAACATGGTGTAAGCACCCAGCTTTCCTTTTACACAGTAGTTTTCTGTTTTATCAGAACAACGTATTATTATCTTCATAAAAGGGATTATAGCTAGTGGTGTCTGTGTTATGTATGGACACAGAATACTTACAATTTCGTAAAATACACAAGGCAGACTCTCCTTTCCATCTCTCAAAAGAAAATTCTTTGCCCCATATGCTCCAGGTGTGACCGCAGAATCAAGCGTGCCTATACCATTTAGCAAAAATAAATCACAATGTAAACATCAGAGCAGCACTAAGTGTGATATACAAAGATACCATGACAACGTTTACTACACAAAAGCACTAAGATGTGTCAAGTCAGCATCAGCTTTCTGTCAGAACTTGTGCTGACAGCACTGGATGTTCCAATACAAAGTACGGGCTTTACATAGTCTTTGAATAGTAAACTTGGATATGATGTCTCTAAACCGAGTGACCAAATGTGGTTTTCATAACCATCACTGTAAACAGGTCATTCCCTTGTTAAGCAGAGCACAACACAATGCCCTAAGTTTTATTGATCTTCATATGCAAGTCAACTTTAAATATTTGCAACCTTGCCAAAATAACAGCTTTCTGAGATGCCATTACATTGTATATTCTTATTCACCTTGATTTAAAGTTTAGTCATTTCAGTCTTTTGTCATGTTCATTTCTCAGATAATGTCAATTAAAACACAAAGTGAAACACACTAAAAGTCATCTATGTTTAGAAGTACTCCAGACTTGAATTTATTCCCAGATTAATTGCATTAAAAATTACTGTAAGACTGAACCTCCCTACAGAAGGTTCCTTTTTAACAGGAAAAATGCATTGTAACATATTCTAAAAACAAGGAAAGAAAAGAAATGGGATAGAAAGAGCTGAAATGTTGGAGGATTACTGTATTATTAATTTTGTACCTATTTTAGTCACCTTTGATAGCTGCATGGATCTCCCAGCAAGAAAATCAGATGGTGCTCATGCCAGTATTTTGTGTTTTTAAGTATTTCAGCTATTGTTCCTACAGTAAATAACATTTTCTCTTGGCTGTTGTCCTACCATTATTATCCGCTACACACAATAATATCCACAATATATCATGCTTACCTAAAACTTCAAATAATAGTGGAGTTTTATAAGCATATTGACTCCAGTGCCTCATACTTTCAATGACTGCAGATATGATTCGCAAAGAATTCTTTTCTTTAATTTTTAATTGAGATGATGAAACTTCCTTTCAGAGGAAGATGAAAACCCAAGTTAGAGATAACACTCACACAATTTTAAAAGACACATAGACTTTATATATTATGTTAAATACCCAATATTTACATTAAAATTAGAGTATTTGTTCAGACTATACAAACAACTCCCTGCCGATTTATATGATCATGCTGAGGATTGTGTGTTATTATAGTATGAAAATCACAATTCTAAATTTTCAGAAACTTAAGGGTTTACACTAAGGCAGCTAGGACTGATGAAAGCCTCATCTTTCCACAATTTTATTTTTTCTTTACTGTTTTCTTCATTGGATCTTCCTATTAACTCTCTCCATAAGTTTACCTGACTTTTGCCTTCTGGAACACAATCAGATTGTTTTTCATTCATGTTATTTTGCTGAATATTGTGGTTAAACTTGTATGCCAGACCATGATCCTGCAGACTTCTTGAAAGAGTGTTAGGTTTCACTCGAAGAGTGTTAGGTTTCACTGGCCATTGTCCTTTAGATGTATATGTTTGGCTGGTTTCTGTTGTTTTGATATGCTGCGATGAATTACGGTTATCAGGGGTTTTTTGTTGCTGAACAGTTTTCAAGCTATTTGAAAGGCTCTCAAACTTTCGAATAATTCCACTGTCAGATCTTGAATCTGTTGTGTTACTTAAAGGAGTATACTCATTTCTGTTCCAAACTTTAGTACTGGGAGCCTTCTCTTCTGCCCTGCAGTACAATGTTAGACATAGTTCAGTATCACAATATCTATCCTGCATACTCAGACATGTAATTAAAGTATATAAAAGCAATCTATGTATTGTTGTTTTAGCTTTAAAAGCATCTGTTAAATATTCAGACTCAAAGCACTTGAGTATACACTTAAATTTATCCATGTATGCAGGGCAGTGTCACACCTGTGCTTAAATCCAGCTGAATCCAATAGGCCTTAAAAGCTTACTTAATTATTGTCCTGCCCTGTTTAAGGGATCCTTCCTAACAGTCACACCTTTTCCATAATTCTAAAATAAAACAAGCAGTTTCTTCTGAGTGGTATTTCTGAATTCTTCTACCACCACCACCGAAGAAATAATTTTACAACAAACTCTAGTGCTGACCTTATTATTTCTAACACTCTTCATTTTATAAAGGCAGCTCAGAAATTCCTTCCACCTCCACTCCGTTTTGCCTTTGAAGGCACTTATCTGAAACATTCACTCTCTTTTTGCCAGTGGGAAGGAATAGGAGGAAGGGAAGAGAGAAAAAGGACAACATTGCTGGAAGTTTTCCTGCCAGCTCTAGGCATCTGAATCTGTAAGCTTTTCCTTGGTTTATAAAAGCACAGAGTTCGCAATTATATTCAGTTTTGATTAAATGTTTTGATATACAATTGCCCTAGAAATTGCACTGATAGAAACTTATTTGAGTCTATTGATAAATTTGGTTTGAAAGTGGGCAAAACTTCAAGTAAAGGGGAATCTCAAAAAATTACATCTAAGACCAGCAAAATTCAACCAACATTTACGGTAAGAATGAATTTTACGCCTGATAACATGCCTAGATATTAGGTCTAATTAATAGGCCTCACTAGGTGCACTGGAAAGATACTTCATTTCAGTGGGTTTTGGCTCATAAGCACGATGGAATTATGATCAGTGACGATCTGAGAATTAAAAGGATCTCTCTGAATGCTACAAGAATATGGAAAATTTAAGATATATTTTCACATGAGACCAATTTTGGTTAAGGAAGGATAATAAAAATTAAAAGACTTCACCAACCTGCAGGCATACAAGTTTCTTCCAGCATTTGCTAAATTAGACTTGGATGCATTTGGTGGTTTCATAAGGGAAGGAGCCATCTGATGTTCTGTTGGGCTTTCAAAGATAAGTTTAAAGTATCGGTGACATACTAGCAGCTTTATTGTAAGACAGACACATGGATCATAGTTTGTGAAACAATTCGTACCCAAATAAAAAACAATGAGCAACAAATAACCCGCTTTTACATACCCGTTGTTCGCTGCTTTCTGTAGTTCAGCCACTTCTGGGTTTGCAGTTCCCCAGCCTAATTCTCAAAAGACAAAGGGTACAAACTGGAAAGATTGAAAGGTAATAGGTCTACTTAGGGCTCCTACTCTTTATCTGCTTAATGTTCCACAAATAGTCTCACACAGGAAGGAGAAGGGAAAAAAAGAAAAGGGAATGGGATCCTTTGATATCTGTAATTATAAGGCAACTTCTAACAAGTAGGCTGCTTCTCTAGACAATGGTTGTTACAGACATTAGACTTATTAGCACAGAGACTTTTACTTTATTATAAGGAAACTTTTTCACTTTATTATAAGTAAAACATAAAGAGAGTACTAAAGGCAGAATTCTGCATCATTCTTTCCAAGCAGAATTTGAAGAACAGAAGTTCTCTTCTGAATTACAAGAAAGACATCTTATAAATGTTTCTTCTTGTAACACAGGACTTGAATGTTGATTGAAATCAACTGAAAACAAAAGGTCAGAGTTTCAAGAGACTCTATTTAAATGCCAGTGCTACTTCATTCTCTAACACACAAAGAGTCAAACTCCCTCTAGGCACAAAGTATAAAAAGCTCAATTGTACAGAGGAGAAAGAAATTTCCTGGAGGACGTTTTTTACATAATGAACTTTTCAGAAATAAATATAACGGGGGCATATAGTTCTTGATAAAGGCGATGTCCAATTTAATAAAATATGATCATAAAGTTAAGGTTTATTTGGATTTAGAGCCATTAAAAAAATAAAATATATCTTATTTACCGAATGATGTTGGAGAAAAGTCATAAGTACGAGTCCCAGAGCTGGTACCTGGCTCATTTTTAAGTGGATTTGAAGTGAGGGGCTGTCTATTTCTTTTTTTCTGATTGAACAGAGGTACAGGCAGACAACCTAAAATTAAAATTCAAATACTAATACTATGCCAATAGCAAAAGGATACACAATCTACATTTAAAATATGTAAATAAAATTACTTAACAATTATTTTACATCACTCATAGGAATTACATTTCATAAACACATACCAGAACAGCCATTGCCTCACAGAATTTATATTCCCAGCCCTCTGCCCTGCACATAATCCCGTAAATGAAACATTTCCCTTAGTGACCAGTCCCCTGACTCCATTCAAAATCTTACCCTGTGCTGCAATAAAACAGATAACCCATGCAAGCCCACTCAGGAAATGGGGGTCTAGGACTGAATACTGTATATCCTGTGTGAATACTGCATGCGTGTATTTGTGTATATATATTCATATGTATAAGCATAATGAGGTATGAATGGTAAAGCACAAAAGAATGGGTGCTACCTGCTGGTCTGCGAGTTGAAGTGTCAGCTAGACTCCTTTTCATTTCTTTGCTGTATCTGAATAAGCAACAACATATTGATTACTCCAAATTTGCTGTATGGAAGTTAGATAAGCAGACAAAGTAAACTAATTCATGTTGTAAACACATCCAAATTTTATGTGATTTTATGGCAGTTTCTCCTAACTCTGTATACCCAGTGACACGCATCACTTCAGACACAAGACTAAAACGTGCAAGCTGTTGTACTGAATTTAGAAGGTCCATGGGTACACAAGTAACATGCAATTGCTCTTTGCAGATTAAGGGCCCAAATGATTACATTTCTGAAATAAAAGTTGTATTCTCTACTTTTTTAAAGTGCTGTAAAAACACGGAATTCACTTCTGAATTTAAAAGTCCATATACATTCAAATACACGGAATATTTTTTAATTCCTGAAAACAGAATACTAATAGAAAATACATACTTATACATTGCTGCAGAGCGTGATGGCAAGGTACATGGCTTTGAATAAAAAACTGATTTAACTATTCTGTGAAAAATAGTGTCACACTTCAAAAAATAAACTTCTTTTCTATACTTTATGGTACAGACCTAAAACCTTTAGCCAATTTCCTCAGATATAAAATACTTCCGAGGTCAAAAAAACCCCATTATTATCAGCCAAATATTATAAACAGAGAAAGTATATATTAGCATATTAGGTACAGGTAGTTTGCCATAGTCATTTTCTGATTAATCTACAGCAAATGCTATGTATTACTGTGTACATCAAGGATACTACACAGACTGTTGTGTAGCATTAGTCACTATTCTATCAAAGTTAGCTACTGGTGCATATCGCCTTTAATGGCAGATGAATAATACCACATACTTGTGTGTATAAATAATGTAAGACATTAGCTCTACATTTATTTTGATCTGGCAGTTAACCATATGCAGCTATTAAAGATGTTGGTAAGAATGAAGCATGAGTATCTAGCACAGCTAGACAAATAGACAAATTCACTCCTTATGTCTGTGAGATACATCAGTTACATGTGTGACAACACTAGAGCAGCTTCTAGTTAATTTCTGTTAAGCAATTCAAACTGTATTGCTAGCATTATGAAGCCTAATGGCCATCAGTAAGTGACATACTTGTAAAATAAAACCCCATAAACTTGACATTTCAGTTTATGAAGCCAATTTTGGTGTTGCATAGGATTTTAAACTGTATTGTTTTGCTTTTTGTCCTCTCTTGAAGATGAGCAACCAAAACCCAGAGCTAAAGCTGTAGAAAAAAGCAAGTTAAGGATAGAGGAGATACCAGGGTAAGCCTCCGCAGTATTTCACGCAGCAACACCAGTCACAGGCTAAAACAGTCTGAAGGAGAGGGCTGAGGCGAAGCCCGCCAAAAATAACAGACCAAACGGCCACGCTCTCGCGCCCGAGCGAGCGAGAAAAGGGCGGGAAGGCGCTGACCGCCCTCGCCGTTCAAAGGCGGCAGCGCAGCACCCGCTGGGGCCGGCGCAGGCGCCCTTGGCCGCGGGCGGCCTCCAGGAAGGGGGCGCTGGGCGGCCCCGGCCCAGTTGGGAGCTGCCTGTCCCAAGCTGTGGAGAGGAGGAGCGATTAAATGGGTCTTCTGTAGGATTTAATTAATTATCTCCGTACCCGGGGAACCGGCCCACCTGGTGTCACGTTCAGCACTTAAGAGAACCCGGGGCAGGAGCTGAATACCCACAAATGTGTGAACACAAATCATGGATATAAATAAAACTATCTGCATTCTTCACACTGTTTTTCTCTTCCACCGCTAGTCAGGGTTTTACACACAGCTGTTTTCAACTGCGTAACTTCTGGCTGGTTCCTGTGTAAAATCTTAGCACTCGGCAGGGTTGGAGCCTGTCCTTTTTTTGTAATTCCCATTTTTGCTTCAGCCAGTGCCTTGAAAGGCTTTATGAGCACGTTACGCTTCTTATATATATACACACCTTCACGGCTTTGATAGCTAGACTTCATTTCATTTACAGTGTATTATTGCATATGTTTTTCAGCTTGTGGCACACATTCTAAGCTTTCAGATGCACTACTAGATATTTGTATGTTGTACATAAAAACAATCTGAACTCTTAATAAACTACACATGGCCCTACATAATTTTTCGAAGTATTGGCAAAGCACAGGAATAAGGGATCGGTCCTGTATTTAATTCAGAAGAGTGAAAGCTTTTCAAGTGTCTGCATTTATGCCAGAAATTCGTGGGTGCTGGTAATGTCCTGGGAGACCAGGAGTTAAAAGCTGTTTGGAAGTTAACGTGCTCTAAGGGTATAAAAGAAGCCTCCATGGCTTTAGCTCCTAAACTCATGTTTGGAAATGCACTGTATCTGTCCTAAGAAAGCTCCTCTTAGGAGACAAACTTCTTGCATGTTAAATGAGGTAAGTGCACAAATGACTGCTGTATTTCAGTCAGCGTTTTGCAAGGAATTATAACTATTACAGTACCGCCAGCAATAAAAGATAAACTATATGTACTAGCACTGCGTGTTTGCATTTTTGCTGTTTACTCTTCGAACTGCTGTGGTGTTTAAATTCAGCAAACCAAGATTCAGAGCGTGAGTCATTTTTTCAGGCAGCGTGTAAATAGCTGTTTTGGCACCACCGCTGAAGAGACTGGGGTCAAAGGACAGTACAGACTGTCCAGTGCTGTAAAATACAACTTTACTGCTTTGTTTAATAAATTACTTACTATGATTAAATATCCGACAGCTTCTAAGTACAGGAGTAACACAGTTGAGTAAGTAAACAGTCTCTCTGTATTAACTCGCCGTAAGATTCAGCAAATCTGTATGCATAAGCTGAAACATAGAGAGCAACTTTTGTAGGAAATATATTCCTGGCAGAACTTGTCTAGATAAGTCCTACGTTGAGCTTTCTTTTTGTCGACCTACAGTCTATCAGCCTGGGTTATAAAGCCTCTCCCAGGCACTAGCCAAATACTCTCTCAGTCACTGGAGTATAATCTTAATAAAAAGGAATTGTTCAATAAACATTCTGCATAAACATGCAAGGGTGCAATGTAACATTTTTTATATTTATATCGTGTGTCGGATACTAATTGCAAATACTTCTGTCATTTACAGCAGTAAAACTTACTTTCTGTTATTAAGACCTTTTATTCTAAATGTTTTGATCCTCATGATGGAAGTTAGGGCTGCTCTTTGCCTTAAGTTTCAGAAGCCTGACCGAATGCTTTTGGAAATGGAAGAAGTCAAGTTGTTGACTAAGGTGTTTTTGGGGGGAGAACACAACTATTGTCCCGTTGTGGTCTATATCCGTTTCCTTTTTAATAAGAGATGGCAGAGGTTGGAAGGGTCGTCACTGGCAAAGTTATTGCAATGTGTTAGAGGTCTGTGTTAGCAGATCCCCAGACAAAGCTAGAGCCAGGAATACTAGGTAAGCCAGCCATGGATAAATTGCACTTTAATTTCAGTTAGTGTTCCTTCTAATCACTGTTCTTCAGATATTATAAAACAAAAAAGGTCATACAAGCAACAATGTTTGAGGAACTTAGCTGTTCTTGTTTTTTTAGATGAAAGTACTTGCTGTTTCAGCATTATGTGTTGATCTTGAGCCAAGATATGATTCATATCTTACTGGTTTTGCTCACTTTAAATCATTCTGCCCTTGTATACTGTAACGTTTATGTAACTTCAAACATACATGAGTATACTTGTTACAGCTAGTTTGCAATGCAAAAACGTCAGGGATATTTAAGTGCATTATTAAAGTTTACATTAAAAAAGTATTTTCATACTGTCATTAGTACAAGATTTACCTCTGTATCATCTATTAATAGAGATTGCCTGGAGAAGTTAACTTTTGAACTGTGTAACAGTACATTAGCAGACTTGGAGATATTGCTAAATATGGTAAATGAAGGGGAGGGCTCCTCGGGAGGGAGGAGTGTCAGGTTAGCAACTCCCCGTGTCGCAACGGGAGTCTAAAACTGTTAGAGAAATGTTAATTCACTTTCATTCACATCCGACCTAAACTGGCTTAAAGAACCTACTATTTAAAAGAGTAAAAAGAACTTTTTTTTTTAGGCAAAAGTTTTCCTTTATCATTATTTTCTGTTTTGCTTTCAGCAATTCGTAGAGCTGCTGAAAAGCATGACTTCCACTTCTGTTGTTGATAAACCTCCGGTAAGACGGGTTGCTATCTTCGGGGGAACTCATGGCAATGAGTTATCAGGGGTATTTTTGGTCAAGCACTGGCAAGAGAATGACGCTGAGATTCAAAGAACAGGAATGGAAGTGAAACCATTTCTTACCAACCCAAGAGCTGTGAAGAAGTGTACTAGATACATTGACTGTGATCTGAACCGTGTTTTTGACCCTGATAATCTTGGGTAAGAACAGTTGTACTTTCTGTTGTTTTACTTTTCTGTTTTTGTAAATTGTAAGGAATTTCCTTTCCAGATTAAAATGTTAACACAGGTTCCACTACTATTTTAACTGTGCAGTCACATAACTGAAATTACTGACCTTTAACCCAAAAAGAACAAATTGCATGAGTGTTAACAGATTCATTTTAAAACTATTGCTAGTAGAATGAGTCTCAAACCAACACATAATCTTAAACACAGCATTTTAAATCAGTATTAGATTAGCTGTATTTATGTAAACTTAAGTATTGTTGTTCCGAGTTGCAAAGCCATTATTTCTCACATGCCTTCTTGTGCATTCAACTTTGGAGCTCTTCTGAATACAATTATATTTGCAGGAAGATAGCAGATAAAAGAAATTTAAAGGTAGACATCTGAGTATCTGACAGAATGGCATACAAATCGGGGAAGTGTATTTAGTTTCAGTTATATACAGCAAAAGATGAAAACTTGAAATTAGCGAAGTTAGAAATAATGTATTCTATGGCAAAATGATAGCCAAAAAGTCTCCATAATTTAACTGACTCATTATTTTAGAAGAAATACAATCTATAATTACTGTAAAATAGCAATTAATTTTACATTTTTTAATGGGATTTTATGTTTTTCTGCTTTT